GGACTTTGCGGGGGCTTCTTGCAGATAGCTTGGCTTCACATAGGCATCTTCTAATTGTAACAGCACTCACAGGTAACTTTAGACCTTCTTTGATCTTCCTGGAGCTGATTGTTGGCTCAGTCCTTGCCATTTTGGCTATTCTTCTATCCATTCGAATGGTAGTTTTTCTCTTTCTTCCACGTCTTTCAGGTTTTGGTTGCCATTTTAAAGCATTTGCGATCATTTTAGTTGAGCAGCCTATCATTTTCTGCACTTCTTTATATGTTTTCCCCTCTCCAATCAACTTTTTAATCAAGGTACGCTGTTCTTCTGAACAATGTCTGGAACGACCCATTTTCCTCAGAATTGCAGAGAGAAATGCACTGTAACCAGCATGTACAACATTTGCTGCCTTCCTTCCTTAAATAAGGGCAATAATTGCCACCTATTTTTCAAAGAATGAACGACCTCACTAATAGAACTCCACACTGCTATTATTTTGAACATGCCCCTTTCAATTAGTGATTCAATTACACGGAATCAGCAGCATGTATGTCATGACTGTTGGGTCTGTTGGAATTCTATTACTCTACTACACCTGCTAGTAAATTATTTGCCATGTAGAAATATAATTTCTATCAAAAACAGTGATTGATCAGTTTAGTGATGTCTGACTGCTATTATTTTGAACACAACTGTATATACGGGTTGCAGGAAATAAATTTGCTCGATTCCCCCATCAACACAGAAAGTGATGACAGAGGAACCACTCTGACGAGCCATTGTGTTCTCCCAATGGGGGAGGGGGGCGGAGGGGGGGGGGAGACATCCCTGCCGGGAGAAGACAGTGATTATTGCTATCAGCTATAACCGCCTCTAGAAAAAAACACATGCAAAATCCATCAGGCTGGTTGTACCCAAGTACATTTAGCCTGCCCATACATGGTTTAAATCTTCAAACCGTCTATGGCTGGCTTAAGCCTGAACATGACACTGAACTAGATTAAACCTTGATCTCGCTATTTTATCTTTATTTTTTTCAGGTGATTGAGAACCATTCTTCCCATTTCCCAGTTGTTAGTACTAAACCTGAAGTTGTCCATGACTTATATCCGGCCCCATGGATAAAGACCCAAATCTGTGAGGCCGCGTATATGCATACGTTCAGTGGGAATTGGTTAAAATCATGTATTGTCTATAAGAACTTTTTTCTACCAAAACATTCCCATCTCCACCAGCTATTCTCTAGTGTCTCTAAAGCAGCAATTGTTAAAACAGAAGATGGACATCCTAACTAAATAAATATTATATCATATAATTAAAAAGGATTTCAGTCAGTGCCAAAAACTGCAGTGCTGAACAAAACTTAGGCTGCTATTTGTTTGATGATCTGAATCATTTAAGTGTGACATATATGCAAAAAAATAAAATGAAAAATCAGGAAGGGCAAATACTTTTTTCACACTGCACCTCTGTTTTTCTTGAAGAGAGATCAATGGCTGTTGAAGATTACATAACTTTGTGGCATGTACCACCAATCAGTGCTAGATACTATTTTAGCATACCACAGTGGTCATACGCATGTTACTGATTTCTGTCTTCCATTGCTCCTGTTACAGCTTGGGCTGTGTGTGTTTAGAAGCTGCCATAGATAGATCACACAGCACCGCAGGTTGTGGGATCATATGTGAATATCAGTGCTGGTCTCCAGAGTAGCCCCTGCTACCAGAAGCCAGAGCTGTTGCTTACAAATCCATCTGCTTGCTAGCAGTGTCAGACCGCAGGGGCAAACTGTCTGACCACACTGCTTAGATGATTGTAGCTTGACCCAGAGCAAGTATACATACAGTATAAGGAAAGTCAGAGTAAAGTCAAAAGTGTTCACCTCAGTTAGTGTTGAATTAAAAGGGTCTTCATGAGAGCCAGGCAACTAATATTTTCTGAATAAGACATCAGCAATGGTAGCCTATACTTTGCTCTTAGGATAGGTTTCCTTAAAAATTAAATAGTTAGGATTTAACTCAACAGGCTCCAGTGTCATCTGAATCAAACCTCTTTCTCAAGTTAAGTTGAATAGGAGCACATAGGTACCTCTCACTGCTGCTCCCCAAAGATCGAATAACTGAGTCTCCTATTGGAAGCCAGTAACTCCTATTGAAAGTACACTGATACTAAATCAAAAAGTATGGTTTTTATTCCTATCTAAAATATGCCGCCCTCACCTTTACCACAACCTTTTACCTTGACTTTGAGCATGACCTTTGAACCTAAACTTGATCTAAAGCCTAAACATGACACTGACCTAGGTCAAACTTTGATCTCGCTATTTTATTTTTTAATTTTTTTTCAGGTGATTGGGAACAAGTCTTCCTGGTTCCCAATTGTTATTACGAAACCTGGAGCTGTCCATGACTTATATGCTCCCGCATGGATAAAGATGTAGCACTCAGGATAGGTTTACTTTAAATTGAAATAATTAGGATTTAAATTAACAGGGTCCAGTGTCATCTAAATCAAAGCCCTTTCTCAAGTTAAGTTGAATACACAGGTTGTGTATCCAACCCCTGCTGAGCATTCCACCAATGCGAGGTCTTAGAGAGCTAAGGCCAGTACAAACATAAAGTATTCTTTTTCATCTTGCTTTGCTGATTCAGGCAAAATTCAGTTCATACCAAACCATACCAACAATTGACAATCATTTCTGTCCATGTCACCAACCAAAAGATTGTTTAAAGCCGGGCATAACAATTCTCAAATGAATAAACACATTAGATGTGCACCTGCATCTAGCATTTGTGTAAGTTTAAGTCTTTAAAAAATGTATGGAATATTTTGGGTTTAGCTGAATCGGCATTTAATCAGATTTATCTTCACACCCGTGTCTGGATGAATTAGATTATAAGCTGAATAGCAGCAACTGGCAGAGTGGAGTGCCACTTCACTGGCACCCAAAAAGTAACTAGGTAATGTTGAATCAATTAATAATTATTGTGATACACTACATCAAATCTTACTCATTCGTCAAACTCCAGTACTGAACTGAAAAACACAAAGGTTGCAATCTGATTTTATAATATTTGTGTTTTTACATTTATGGATAGCTACTGTAGTACGAGTACGAGAGCCTAACTAAATGGTTACCATGATATCCAATTTGCAGGTTTGGCACTATATGATTGTTTGGTTGCTGATAAACCTATTATAGACACCCTGAAATAGTGTGCGGCGAGCTTAATACTAAACCTGGTTCCAACTTTATGAAACAATTTTTAGTTTTCTTTAGTGTAATAATAACATAGTGTTCTATACATTGATTTAAATTAGGCACCCTTTTCTTTATAAGCAGATATTTTTCCAATCTGGTAAACAAAAATACCCAATCAAGGGGTTATGATTACATAAAGCTGACTTAATTATAGTGCAGCTCTGTTATAAAACATAAATGCTTCTTCACAGCAAGCCACCACAGTAATGACATGGTATAACATTTTTTTCAATACAAGCTTGCTGAAAATCCATTATTTATATAAGCAAAGGCATATTGAGAAATGTTGGAAGTAGTTGGAAAAAAACAAAAAACAAAACAAATATATATATATATACTGTGTATATATATATATATATATATATATATATATATAATATATATAAAAGAAAGGAGAACTAAATACATAAAAAAAAAAAACCAACTAAATATCCATGTCCAAAAAAACATATACTGTATATAGTGACTTGACATTTACACAACTCTGACATATTGTGTAAACAGGCAGGTGACACAATTATTTCCATTTTCAGCAGCACTCCTTCCAAGTTTAGAACTGCAACTTCCTATGTCACATCTCTGCCTCCAGTCTCCTCTTTGGACAGTAAAGATCACAAATAAGACTAGATAAAAACACAATTTTTTTTCTATATGCAGTACTGTACATATACATATAGGTGTGTTAAGCTATTTTTTAAATTTCACTTCAAGTTAAATACTTAAATACAACATATAATGCCTTATGCAAAATAAATTGTGTAAAGCCACCTAACATTCAGCGGTAATACCTGTTTGGATTGTTTATTTCAGGGGACCCTCTTTCCTTGCTCTCTAAGGTATAAAAGCAATAGAGTCTGATTAAAGTTCTCCACTCCCCACCTTATATCACCTTCACAATCCACCTCTTCTGCTCCATTTACCATGGTTGCCACTGCAAAATATCCAGGCCTTCATGAAAGAGCATTTGACCTCCTCCAGTGATGCAGGGCTTGGGCTTGGTGGGCCAGTTGCTAGGCCCAAGCACTGTTACATAATGGAGAGAGTATTTCAATGTTCCCTCTAAATTCTGTTACTAGCCTCATGGAGTATCTTGAGGTGGCAGAAGAAGCATCAGGGAATAAAGCAGCTGAAGTTGAGCTTTAAACAGACTTTCTCTTGAATGTGTACAGTGATGGAGCTTATTTAATAAAAGAGTTTAATTCTTTACCTAAACCTTCCAAGCCTCATGAACCTGTGCAGAGTGGCTATCTGGTTTAAAAGCTAATTACAGGCAGCACAGTTGCTAAATGGTTAGCATTTCCACCTGGCAATACTAGGGTTGTTGGTTCAAATCCCAACCATGTCACCACATGCCTGCACTTTACATGTTCTCCCAGTGCCTGTGTCCGGTTTCCTCCCACACTCCAAAGACATGCTGGTAGGTTAATTGAAACCTGTCTAAATTGGCCCTAGTATGTGTATGTATGAATATGAGTTAAAGATCTTAGATTGTACGCCCCTTGAGGATTAGGGACTGAGGTGAATGTACAACATATATGTAAAGCACTGCATAAATTGACAGTACTATATAAGTACCTGAAATAATAATTATGTGTAATTTGTATACCTACATTTAGATACTGTTCAGAATGTATTTATTTATTTATTTTTATTGGCAGGTTTTCCCAGCGGGATTAAAAAAAAAGTGCAAATTAGGTACAGCCCATCTGGAATATGGTTTCCTGGGGAACAATGAATTATTGATGACTCAGTCAACATGGGATCCACTACATACCGAAAGGCAGCTACACTGGATGAACTTTTGTACACGTGCATTGATATGTTTGGTATGTCTGATAAAGTTCGATCTATGACTGCTTTGATTTTACACTTCTTCTCTACATTGTTTCAATGAAGTGACAAGGCCATCTATACATTGCACAGTATGAAACTGAACCTAAGATGCAAGTGCAGTCACCTTTTTTATTTTGGACAGTTGGGAAGGGCTAAAAACTTAGGTTTTCTTTGCTGTCTGTGTCCTTCTTAGGGAGCTTTTTTTCTCATTTCCTATCCAGGAAACATGGCAGGAAGTGAGAAGAATCTCCCTAGCTTTGACAGATGTTTCCACTGACAGATATGCCCTCAATTCCTGTGAAAGTGTCAGCTGCCATCTTTTCAACTTTCACAAGGACTACAGAGATACAAGTAAGTAAAGGCAAATTTCCCCTTTCCAGCTATAAAAATTGGCAGAGACTCTAACTTTTCCCAGTCTCTCAAAAACTAAAAGGAAAACGTTTTTGCCTTAAGGCATATTGAGATTAATATAAAGTTTATCACATCATGCATTATTATTGTAAGGACGTTTAAAGGCAGAAATAAAAAAGTCAAACGTGTAAAACAGGCAGTTTTTAGCTGCACTGTGCATGAGGCCTTGCAGTAGACAACAAAAGGCTGGGGCTTTCCAAATGAGGAAAATTCTGCTGATATATTGGATGATGCTGTGTCTCATTTTTTTTCTTTGTTTTGGATAGACTTAGGAAGAGTAAATACTTATCTCAAGTTTTATTGCTGTCCTTAACCCTGTTAGGAAGATTTCACTTCACTTTCTGTCCCTGTGCCAGCAGATCAAGAAATGAAAAGAAAAAATTGTCTCCATTACAGGAAGACACAGACAGTAAAAATAACCCAAACCCTTCTCCATTTTCTTGAAAAAAATTGTTTTGCTGCAGCCTCTGTCTCAACCGAAGAGATTTCCCATCACTTTCTGTCCAGACAGGAAATGTGACTGCAGTAAAAGCCTGGAAGGTGCCTGGTGCTTAAAGCGGTAGTAAAAAAAAAAAATCCCCTACAAGTTAATGTCATAATGTGCTAATATACATTGCATACTAGCATATTATGAAGGACTTACCTTAACCACTTCCGTACAGGGCACTTTTACCCCCTTCTTGCCCAGGCCAATTTTCAGGTTTCAGCGCTTTCACACTGTGAATGACAATTGCGCGGTCATACAACACTGTACTTAAACTAAAATTTTATAATTTTTTGCACACAACTAGAACTTTCTTTTGTTGATATTTAATCACCACTGGGGTTTTTATTTTTTTGCTAAATTAACAAAAAAGACAGAAAAAAACACGTTTTTCTTTGTTTCTGTTATAAAAGTTTGCAAATAAATAATTGTTCTTCATAAATTTAGGCCAAGATGTATTCTGCTACATTTCTTTGGTGAAAATAACCCAAATTAGTATTTATATTTAGTCTGTAGGAAAGTTATAGAGTTCACAAACTATGGGATATATCTGAAAATTGATCAATCCTGAAGTACTGACAGCCAATCTAATTTCTTGTGGTCCAAGAATGTCAGAACAGTACAGATATCCCCCAAATGACCCCTTTTTGCAAAACAGACAGTCCGACTTATTTAATAAGAGGCATGGCAAGTTTTTTGAAGTTGTAATTTTTTTGTCATAATTTTTCGAAAATGAAGAAATTAAATAAATGATTTTCACTATTTTTTTTTTTTACATACTGTCACCAGTGCAGTACAGCATCATCATATAACTGGCATGGCGGTGATCAGGGACACTGACTGGTGACAATATGAAAAAAAAAAAAATTGATAATTTGTTTCGCTTTTTTTTAAGATTTGTTTTTCATATTTCACTATGAACAAAATAGTATGATGTTGCCATAGTAACATTGTACTACTTTGGGGAAGTGATCAGTATTTTGTTTACACAATATGCTTATAGCAAAGAATTACTTTGCTATAAGCAAGCATTAACCTGAATGAGATCTATTCATTCAGGGGTTTTTTTTGTGATTAGCTGTGATTTGGCCACGGCTAATCACATGACAAAATTTTCAGTGGTTTTTGGTTTGTTTAAGAAAAAATAAAAACCCCAGAGGTGATTAAATACCACCAAAATAAAGCTCTATCTCTCACAAAAAAATTATACAAATTTCATATGGGTACAGTGTTGTATGACCGCGCAATTGTCATTCAAAGTGCAACAGCGCTGAAAGCTAGAAATTGGCTTGGACAGGAAGGGGGTATAAGTGCCCTGTAGGCTAGTGGTTAAAAAGGTAACAGCTAGTACGGGGAACTTCTCCCCATACTGCTGTCACAGGGAGGGGGTGGATCAGGCAGCAGCTGAAGCATTGGGAACATGTTCCACCCTAAAAATGGGAGGAACATGTAACATTTTCCCACACAGTGAAGGAAATAAGTATTTGATCAGTCTAAAAATCGAATGGTAGGTGTATTGTAACACTGAGAGACAGAATAGCAACAAAAAATTCAAAAGAAATGCATGTCTTATGTACTGATTTGCATGTTCATGAGGGAAATAAGTATTTGATCCCCTTCACAAAGCATGACTTAGTTGCAAATCCCTTGTTGGCAATCACAGAGGTCAGATGTTTCCTGTAGTTGGCCACCAGGTTTGCACACATCTCCGGAGGGATTTTGGCCCACTCCTCTTGGCAGATCCTCTCCAAGTCATTAAGGTTTGGTGGCTGACATTTGGCAACTCAAACTTTCATCTCCCTCCACAGATTTTCAATTGGATTAAGGTCTGGAGACTGGCTAGGCCACTCCAGGACCTTAATGTGCTCCTTCTTGAGCCACTCCTGTGTTGCCTTGGCCGTGTGTTTTGGGTCATTGTCATGCTGGAACACCCATCCACGACCCATTTTCAATGCCTTGGCTGCGGGAAGAAGGTTCTCACCTAAGATTTGACAGTACATTGCCCCGTCCATCATCACTTTGATGCGGTGCAGTTGTCCTGTCCCCTTAGCAGAAAGACACCCCCAAAGCAGAATGTTTCCACCATCATGTTTGACAGTTGGCATAGTGTTCTTGGGGTCATAGGCAGCATTCCTCCTCCGCCAAACACAATGAGTTGAGTTGATGCCAAAGAGCTTGATTTTGGTCTCATCTGACCACAACACTTTCAACCAGTCCTCCTCTGCATCATTCAGATGTTCAGTGGCAAACTTTAGATGGGCCTGGACATGTGCTTTCTTGAGCAGAGGGACCTTGTGGGCACTGCAGGATTTCAATCCTTGTCGGCGTAGTGTGTTGTTTTCTTGGTGACTGTGGTCCCAGCTGCCTGGAAATCATTAACAAGATCCTCATGTGTAGTTCTGGGATGAATCCTCACTGTTCTCATGATCATTGGCACTTCAGGAGGTGAGATCTTGCATGGTGCACCAGACCTAGGGAGCCTGACAGTTGTTTTGTGTTTCTTCCATTTGCGAATGGTTGCATCAACTGTTGTCACCTTCTCACCAAGCTGCTTGGCAATAGTTTGGTAGCCCAGTCTAGCCTTGTGTAGTTCTACAATTTTGTCCCTGACATCCTTGGACAGATCTTTGGTCTTTGCCATGGTGGAGAGTTTGGAATCTGATTGTTTGATTGCTCCTGTGGACAGGTGTCTTTTATACAGGTAACAAAATGAGATTAGCAGCACTCCCTTTAAGAGACTGCTTCTAATCTCAGCTTGTTACCTGTATGAAAGACACCTGGTAGCCAGAAATCCTGCAGAATGAAAGGGGATCAAATACTTATTTCCCTCATGAACATGCAAATCAGTGCATTTCTTTTGAATTGTTTGTTGTTTTCTCTCAGTGTTACAATACACCTACCATTCAATTTTTAGACTGATCATTTCTTTGTGAGTGGACAAACATTCAAAATCAGCAGGGGATCAAATACTTATTTCTTTCACTGTATATGTACAGTATATGTACAGCATATGTATACATATTAGCAATACTGTGCCAGTCCTAGAATGATATTCTACTGTGATATTCTAAAGTAAATATGAAGGAGAGGAGTGTGGAGAATATGATGGCGAGAAATATGTGTAGTAGAGGAGTGCAGAGAGTATGACAGTGAGCAGTATTTGAAAGAGAGGCATGTAGAGGGCATGACAGTGGCCAGTTTGTGCAGGAGAGGAGTTTAAGGGCATGACTGTAAGGAATAGGTGCAGAAGAGGTGGCAGAGTATGACAGCATGCAGTATGTGCATGAGGGCAGTTAGGAGGGTATGATAGTGGGCAACATGTGCAGGAGGGTTGTGCAGATAGTATGACAGTAGGCAGTAGGCACAGAAGTGGGGCATAATGGGCGTGAAAGATGGTGGACTTTAAAAGTAGTTTTTCTTGAAAACCTAAAAGATGTTTTGTGTTGATGTGTTAAAAAAATGCTGAATGAAGACATTTCTATTCGGGTACATACTATTTTATTTAGCATTTTTTGGTAAGCCTATAACATTCTCAAAGCCCCTCATCCTTTATAAACCCTTTTTAGCATAAATAACACGCAGGCAGGAGTGGACTGACAACTTATGGGGCCCCCGGGCAATAGGGGATCATGGGGCCCCTGTGTCCTTGCCCAAACTCAAAAAAGCCTATGAAAAAGGTACTAGGGGCATCTCATGGGGCCCCCTACTGACCCCCGGCCCTCAGGCAGTGCCCAGGTTTCCAAATGGTCAGTCCGCCCCTACACGCAGGTATATATAAATATATATAACTTGTTGAGACAATGCCCACCAATTGCTGCTGTGGCTTCTGTAAAAAATTATAAAAAACTACCTCCTGCACTACCCTAAAGCCTATATAATAGGTGGCTGCTGCTGTGACAAGTGCTTAGTATTCAAACTAAAGCTCAAAAAGAAAAATACAGTACTACCATAATAAAAGAAAATGTGTCAATTTGTACATACAATATGTGCAGAGATAATAGATGTAAATCCGTGTGAGTAAATAAACAATATACCCATCAATTGTACAAGTCACCACATTACAACCATGTCATAACTGCATTAACATATTGCAAAAAT